TGCAGATCAGAGAGGCTGCTTAGTTTGGTTTGTTGTTTTCTGTTGCTGTTTTGCTCTGTTTTGTTCTGTTTTATATTTTTATTCTTTTCAAATTAAAAAGTTAACATCCTTACTAACATGGCCTGGAAAGATTCGAGAGTTCTGCTGAGATGTCACACTTTGAAGAAAGGGATCTTCTTCCTCTTGAAACACCATCAAGGTCCATATACATGGCAAGAGAAAAGAAACTAAGATCTTTATTACCTCCTGGGTTGTCAAATCCTCAGTTAGCCAGCAATACAAACTGACATGATCTACAGCTCTCCCAGGGTCTCTCTATGTTTCTGTCATCAAGCACCATTTGAGTTTCAAGGGTGTCCAGCACATTTAAAAATAAGGCCAATAATTTCAGAGCTCAGACAGGTTTCAAATAGCCTAAAGTTAGCATCCTCTTTTGAAAACATTGGTATCTCATTGTAAGTTATTTGCTTTAATAACAACCAAATTGCTAAGCCCAAGGATCCCACTATCCTACTAGTTTGTTTTTAGCAGTTACTGCTAATGGAAAAACGCAAGTGCCAGGTATCATACTCATAGCTCTCACAGATATGTGATGTGCTAACTAAATGTGATGGACTAACCAAAATACACAGTGATTGGTTTACATTTTTTTAACATGCAAGCATCAGTTTTCAATGTCCAACACAAAAAGTAGTAATCCTAAATTATGTGTGCTGCCAGCAAAAAAGAATCTTGAGGTCCACTGTCTTTAAAAAAGTCATCCAACCCAAAGAAAATAAAGGTCCACAAGTCTCAAAGGAGTAAAATAAGCATCAATGAATTTGCCATGAAAAAGTAGAAAAATGGTAAGCAGTTTCTAAAGCCCTAGAAATGCAAAAGACAAGCATGGCCGTGAAAGGCCCTCCATGGTTAGCAAGGAAGCAATAATGACATCCAAGGAAAGAGAATAATCATACAACTAAACAATGCAAGAGGGTCAAGACTCAAACACAAGCTCAGGTGGCAAAAAATATTGAAGTCTATATACGGAAGACTGCCCTTCCTGAAGGAATGCAGAAAAACAAGGAATTCAGAATCTCTATAGGTTCTGGCAAAATGAAAGGAAATTAAGGAGTTGAAGACTTTCAAATACTGGGCTTTCAAATGGGATCAATAAAACTGGATTGGGAATGAACTGATCTGAAGAGACTGAACACACCCAGGGAACACACCCTGTTTGTCATTTGAATTCTTTTAGCAAGTTTTGAGTAACTCTACTGGCTCACATTTGCAACTGTGAAATAACCATGGTATTTAGATACCAGAAAAGCCTACACTCAATTCCTAACGGTCATCACTAACACCACCAAAACTGAAGGACTACTTTTAATCTCCTGCTATCAGCCTGCTAGTACTCAGAACATTCAACTAATGTTCGTCTTTTGGTGTAATACAAGGTCAGGTATCTTAAAAGAGGAGTGGCCAGCAAGGACAGGGAGGTGATTGTCCCCTCTCTATTCAGCTCCTGTGAGGACCCACTGGAATACTGCATCCAGGCCTAGGGCACAAAAAAGATACGCAGCTCTTGGAACAGGACCAGAGGAGGGTCCTTAGGATGATCAGAGGGCTGGAACACTTCTCCTATGAAGAAAGGTTGAGGGAACTGGGCTTGCTTAGCTTGGGAAGAGAAGGCTCCAGGGAGACCTCCTTGTGGCCTTCCAGACTTGATGGGAGCATATAAGCAGGAGGTGGTACAGCTGCTTACAGGGGTGAATTGTGATAGGACAAGGGGGAATGGTTTTAAACTAAGGGGAGGTTTAGGTTGAGTATTAGGAGGAAGTTTATCACACAGAGGGTGGTGACACAGTGGAACAGGTTGCTCAAGGAGAGACTGTAGATGCCCCATCTCTGGAGGCATTCAAGGCCAGGCTGGATGTGGCTCTGGGCAGCCTGGTCTGGTGGCTGGCTATCCTGCACACATTAGGAGACTTGAAACTAGATGATCATTGCGGTCCTTTTCAACCCAGGCCATTCTGTGATTCCATGATCTTTTCCCTGCACAATCCAATTAGGAGCTCTATAATCTTTGCAGCCTCATATGTTTCCTACTCCTTTTTCCTCCAATTCTCTACCCTGTAAAAATGAGAGAACTTAAAATCAGATATAAGAAATGCTGTTAGGCATTTGTACCCTTCTCAAAGTTCTGCAAAAAAAGCACTGAGTTTCTAGATTTTAAGCTGTTTAAATTTGATCCACAATGCTTTTTTTTTTCTTTATTTTTAATGTAGAGTTTAACATACCAACAAAGCTATCTGGATCACATTCTTCTTCTACTAGCAGGAAATTTCTGGGAAGCTATACACAGTCACTTGAACTAAAATATCATGATATCAAGAAGGTATGCAAAATTAAGTTTTCCAACTTCAAAGGTATGCAGGAAGCAAGAAATAATGATGGCAATTATTATATGCAATCAAGATTTTGTTTCCACACAAAAATTAAAGGCAAATTTTAAAAGACAGGAAGAGATGTAAAGAAAACATAAGTAAAATGTACATGCTTTCAAGCAGAACTTTTTCCCATAAAGTCAGACTTCAAGGGAAATGCAACTGACTCACAGTAGCAGCTGCTAGAATAGACAGTTTAAAACACCTAATTAGGTCACTCCATGCAAGAACTATCATCCTTTTAAACCACTATAAAATGCTGAGGAAACACCCCCCAAAGAAAAGGAAAGTTTTTGGGGATATAAAAACACAGTAAGTATCAGCCAATGAGGAATAAAGGAAGTGCTAAATGCTCTAAAGCCCTGATACTTAAGGTGAGACTAAAATTTATGACTGTTGCCTTTCCTAGCAGACAGGAATACAATTAGAATTCTCAAAATGATAGTCCCTTTTGCTGGCATGCTGTGTTATGTTATACTGCTACAAACAGAACTGAAGATAAAAAGGTAAATGGTACCCTTTCTAACCCAAGGAAACAGCAAACTTTTTCTTTTTTTTTTTCTTTTTTTTTTTTTCTTTTTTTTTTTTTTTAATAATGTGGGTTTGGGCATTGTTTACACACAACTTATGTCTTAAATGAAGCCATGTATGTAATTATCATTGCATGGGCAGGAATACCCATGTAAGTAGCTGCTTTATGCAAAGAATCTCCAAAAAAAGTATATCACATGAAACAAGAACAAGCGAGCTCTTATGAGTCACATACCCTTTGCTGTCCAAACAGCTTGACATTTAAATAACTTAAATTATTATTTTATTTTGATTTAAAAAAATTTGAACGTGCTTGGCTTGATGAACTGATGAATGAAAAGCATCAGGAAGTATGCATGCTCCTTCTTTCATCCTTTACTTATATTCAGTGATAGGGATCATTTGGAATGAACAGTCATTAGAGGAAGCATAAGGAAATATACACAGAGGTTTTCTCATCTCCTCCACAAAGAAAGCATTATTACAAATTCCAAATACACAGTCTGGATTCAGATAACCACAGATGCTTTTCCAACAGAACACCCTCCAGGCATCCTTTCCCCACAAATTCTGGGAAAGGTACATGCAGGGGAAGCACTGCCATCTTCCCAAAGAGCAGAAACATACCAAGAACAGAATCCTGAAGATTGTTCCTTCTCAATATCATCATTTTGGCCCTGCACATCTCTCACTCCTTTCACTTTCTTTTTTTTTTCTTTTTCTGTGTGTACATCCTGTGTCTCTCATGGTTCCACAGATCATTGCTCTCGTCCTACAGTTAACATGGCATGCTTTAATTTATGAGTCTGCTAAGCAAATACCTATCACAGAAAACTCAGTGGCATATTCAAATTATCTACAAATATGAGTCTGATGTGAAAAAGAAGAGCATCACTGAATGTTGGATTCTTAAATTTCATAGTCATTAAAACAGTAAACTTACAACAAAAACTATACAATACTATTACATGACAGCATTTTTTTTTTAATCCCTGAGGATGATTGCAAGATGAAAGCTGAATACAGAAATCTACAGAAAGGAAAATCAAAACATCTAGCATGAAACAGAAATTTTCATATTTGATTAGTTGTACAATTTATCAGACACCATATTGTCAGACTGCCCCTCTACTGCCATCTGTCACATGGCAATAAAATGTAATGGAATAGTGGTGGAAAGGTTCAACCTCTACTGCCATATGACCAACTTCTGCCAGAACGTTGTGGGCCAATGTAGGATAAAATAGGATGCCTTACTTTTGGAGCAGTCCTTGTTGTTCTCCTTTCAGCCTTCAGCTGTGTATGTTTTACTCTATATATACATGTGCCTTCTAGTCTAGTTTTGGTACTAGGAAACAGTAATTCAAATAGCATTTTGTTCTCTGCTATTAGCAAATGCTATCTGATAAGCAACTTAAATATTTTTTAGAAAATTAAAAAATAAATGAGAAATTTTAATTGCTAGATGTTGCTGTACTAGTACTAGAGCTAAAATCCTTCTGTTATTGCACAACTGGAAATTGTACTGTCAAAATAATAATATTTAATTAAGCTTTTTATTTTCCAAAATTACATGAACACTGAAAGTTTGCTTTCCTCAGCTTCCACTGTTTGACTAGAAAATCTTGAACCAAAGAAGACTTATAAATAAACTACTTATCTGAATTTTAACATGTTCTGTCAGGACATAATGACAAAGTTATCAACATCAACAACAACAACAAAAAACATGAAATTATATTAGCATCAACTACTGCAATTAATAGAATTTTTAAAAACTTTAGTTTTGCAAAGCAGAAATTCAGACACATGTCTTAGAACTTATATTTTACTTCCCAAGTCCTTATAACACTGAAATTAAAGATCTCAGCACAAAGTATTCAAGTAAATCTACTAAGGGAAACCCAGGTAGCAACAACTAGCATTTTAAAATTGATTTAATAAAACAGTTTTATATTACAGCAATTTTACTCCATTAATTAGCTGATAAAAAGGAGTCTAACAAAATACAGAATGAGGTAAGATAGTAAAAGCATTCTTTACCTAGCCATTCCCAGGCTGGAAAAGTTTGAAGGAACTATCAAAACATCAAGCCTGGAAAAGGGATGGGTGCCCAGTGTGGAGTAAGCAGCTGAGAGGCACTGAGGAATAAGCTGAAGTAAATGTTCTTCACAGTGTTCCATGAGGCACAAGGGAGCAAAGACTCTATAGGGAATGACTCTTTGCAATGTGGCAGCAGGATTTTGGAAACGGCAGGGATATTCCACATGACCACAGCTTTCTTTATGCCATCTGACAGTAACAACAAAAAAATAGTTCAATGTGATACAGAAATCACAATGGAATATACTAACATAAAGACATTTTCCAGATACCAGAATGATGCAATTAGTTCACATACATCTATCTCATTTCATCTTCTCATACTATTCACCCATGTTTGGCACTGTGAAAAAAGAATCAATATTATTACACATCTGAATAGAGCAAATAGAGTTACTTATAACTAAAAAAGAAGAAACAGCCAAACCTTTCTTTTATAATAAACACGAATAAAAAAACTTAAAAACTAAATAATGATACAAGAATGCTTCTTTATTCAGAGAATTTCTACTTAAATGGTGATCCAAAAATCTTTTTACTCCCTTATTACATGCAACTACAATTAAATTCCATTTTTTTTCTGTTGTTTTTTTTTAGTTTAAAAAAAAAATGTCCATGAGTTTTTACTATTTTGGGGTTTTTTTCTTAAATGAAAAAAAAGTAGGTATCATTTCAGTCTGATCAACACAGATATCACTATTAGTAGCAAGACAATACTAAGTTACTTTTACAGAATATTCAAAGCTGTGGCTAGAAAAATGAATAAATGTGATCCTTTCTAAATCTGAGTCATACACCTTTATCTGTCCAAATAGATTTTTATCTGAGCAAAGATCAGCTTCATGTTTTCACCTGTTAACTTGTCTTCTCTACAGGGCAGAGCCTCTCCTGGTATCAGATTTCAGCTTCAAGAAGCTGGTTCTACTATGCTTTGACAGACGAAACGCTTACTGCACCAAGCATCACCCAAAAGTATTTATATTTGTAAGAGTGTAAAAGTAAAAATTCACTCCAGGTAAGTGCTGATACACAAAAACAAATGACAAGATGTAGAAAAGAGCTATGCTTCTCAGAAGTGCCAAAATTTGTAAGTGTCAAACAAACACCTTGTGTAAAAGAAGCAGATTTTTATTACAGAAGCAGAAAAACTCTCATCTACCATTAAGCACTTCTTTTTTTCCCGAGAGTTGTCTAAACCACAATATTTTTGCTCTAAAAGAATATAAATTTGTATTTAATTGTCAGAGTTGAGATTAAACAGGAACATAAAAGCCATCAGCTCAATTCTCTTAACATTTGCCAATTAGTCCTTATGGAGATAGGAAACTTATTTTACATTCTAGCTGCATTTACTATTTTGATGTAGTCTTCTCATACCTCGCTGGTGTCTGAACATAAATTATATTACATATTTAAGTAATTCCTTTTGGAGATCCTTTTTCCTGCTGCTCAAGAGTCTATACCCTTTATCATTCCTGAGACACTACTTTAATATCTGCTTGATATCGACTTCATATCCTTTCTAGAAACCTCTGCTACTGGTTTGGTTACTTAGTCTTACTGATTTAAATAAACAGTGAGCAATTGCTGTGCTAACTCCCAAATGTGCTTTTTTAAAAAATCTTTTTGGGTTAGTTTTTCTTCTAAAGCTCACCTGTTGCAGATTTCAATTTATTCAACAAAAACAAATGAGAACAATGAACATCACACTGATTAGAACTTGCTGTATTTTTTGCTACAGAAAGATAAAGAAAATCCCATTTTCCCAAAGTTTTCAAAAAATAAAAATTAAACAAACTGTCTGATTAATATCCTGCATCAAATCCATCACTGAATATCCTGCACGTTACAAAAACATGTTTAACAGTTACTGAGTACTTGTGTATGGACAGTCATATAACAAACAAATAAACAGTAGAGAAATAAACAGAAAATAATTTCTAAAAGCTTATGTATGTACAAACTGCTTTAAAGCTTGAATAGGCGTGTGTTACTGATGTTAAACAAAACATAAAAGTTCCTATTCCCAAGATTTATTAGGACTTTTTAAAAACAAAATTAGCCAAGCTGCAAGAGATCAGAGTCCTTTAATTTTAAATTTTAGCAATTACGTCCTCAGTTTCCAAATCCTTACCAACTCATATCAAAATGGTAAGGACTTCCACAATCTTAATGCTAACACAGTATTAGTCCTAAAACTTATGAGTAAGGTTTTTTGTTTTTGTTTGTTTTTTTGTTTTTTAAGCTATGTCTGAGACTTCTGTTAACTAGGGTGAATACATGTGGAATCAAGCTTTACTGCTCCAGAAAATTAATTTTTAACTTCAGTTGTCATTGGAAGGACTATATGACATTATAATATTCATTCACAGGGATCTCCAAGAACAAGTCCAGGGGAGGGCCACAGAGATGATAAAGGGCCTGGAGCATCTCCCTTTTGAGGAAAGGCTGAGCAATTTGGGTCTTTTCAGTCTGGGAAAAAGAAGACTGAGGGGAGATCTCACTAATGTTTACAAATATCTAAATGGACAGACAACCCTGTAATAATTTAAATGCAGTGAATCTTTTTGACTAGATTGAAAAGAGAGATAAATGTATCCAAAATAATTACATTTCTACAGACTTTGTGAAAGATAACAAAGTAGCCACTGCATATACTGGACAAAAGGCTATTTTTCATTGAACCGAATGAACGTCCAAAATTCTTTCACAGAACCACTGCATCATTACACACCAATCCAGGCAAACAACTGTGCACGTCAGCTCTAACTGCAATGGGACTGTAAAAGAAAGGAGAAGTAGGTGCTTGCATTTGCTAAGAACTACAGCACTACTGGGCACTAGATATCCAGGATGTGCCAAGCAGCACTGAGGATTATACAGGAAGAGACTGTAATAAAAAACGGAGAATCTGCTAGTCTTGCAGCAGAGCATTAAACACCACAGGATGTAAGATGCAAATCCAGAGAATGCTAGGATTAGTGCTATTGCTCATGAAACAGTTTGTTTTTACATAAAAAGAACCACACCCTTATCCATGAAAAAAAGCCTTGGGAATTATTTCCCTGCCACGATTTTTCTAGTAAGATGAAAAATTCTGTTTTTATTCCTGTACTGAAATGGCTTATTTTCACCTTCCATGGAGAAAATGTCACTGTGGAGTAAAATGTTGCTTTTCAACAATAATCCAAACACCAACCTGAAATCATCTTGTGAAAATGGCATGGAAAACTCATCTTCTGTCTGGATATCAGCCGCGAAGCACTGCTGTTTGACTTCCTGCCAGCAGCCTACAGCAATAGTGAAGGTGGATGCTGGCATTGGCATAGTTACATAGTAGTACCAGCTCGTGATACCTGTGAATAAAATGAACATTTGTGCAGATTCATCAGTCAACACATCATATTTTTGTGCACTTGAGATTTTGGGTCATATCTCTCACGTTATGTCCTCGTATTTTTGTTGAAGAAGAGAAAAAAAATCACTGAGACATGTAAGAGCAGTTATGTGACCACTATGGATTCAATGTCATTTACTTGTACCTGTACTCAGCACTGGTGAGGCTGCATCTTGAGCGCTGTGCTCAGTTTTAGGTCCCTCACTGCAAGAAAGACATTGACTTCCTAGAGAGTGTCCAGAGAAGGGCAACAAAACTGGTGAGGGGTCTGGAGCACAGGTCTTATGAGGAGCAGCTGAGGGAGCTGGGATTGTTCAGTCTGGAGAAGAGGAGGCTCAGGGGAGACCTCATTGCTCTCTATAACTACATGAAGGGAGGTTGTAGCTGGGGGTCGATCTCTTCTCCCATGTGAATAGTGACAGAACTAGAGGGAATGGCCTCAAGTTGCACCAGGGGAAATTCAGACTCGATGTTATGAAATACTACTTTTCCAAAAGAGTTATTGGGCACTGGAATGGGCTGCCCAGGGCAGTGATGGAGTCACTGATCCTGGAGGCGTTCAAGGAATGTTTAGACACGTTGAGGGACATGGCTTAGTGAGAACAATTGGTGATAGGTAGATGGTTGTACTGGATGATCTTGACTGATCACTCAACCTTAGTGATTCTTTGATGTGATGATTCTATACTTAAGACCTTAACATTCCTCTATGTGCTGATATCTTCAGCTATAAAAAAATCTATACTTATTGAGATGTTATTGATGCAAGGATAACAGCATTACTGCCCAATAATTGTATCAGATGTGAAATCTAATGGCAATCATAATGACACAAAAGATTAACATTTAATTCTGTCAACCGTGGATTACTTCCTTACACTTTTGTCTTGTCTATATGACATTACAAAGATTACAAACCCTTTTCTTTGTGTTCTGGACAGTACCAAACTGACAGAAAAGTTTTAACAACACTAGTACTTATGGATCAGACTTGGCAATCTGAGATATAGAAATGACAAGCAGGAAGTTAGAAATTAATCAGATAGAATATTGCCAAAGTCAACTTTCAGGTCATGATAATCCAGGAGCTGCTATAACAGGATTAGAAAATCCAATAGAAGGTAAGAAGATGAGACTTAATAGTATAGGAACACAGAGATGGAAGACAGAGTATCTTATATACTGACTATATATGCAAACACGTGTGAACAAACTTCAAGATATTTTGGGGCAGCCTACCTTTCATTAATCTAAACACTGCTTAGGTTTACATCTGGCTCTCTAAAAAGAGAACAGCATAAGGGTCACATTTAAGTACCCATCTGTGGGCAGAAGTACTGTTGACACACTGTATTAATAGGTTAATTACTCTTGGAAAGAGCCTCGCCTACAGAATCGTGTGCAATTACGTGTAGCCATGGAAACTGTGGAAACAAACAAACTTCATTTATTTTAAGAAAACATTAATACTTGCAATAATGCTCTAAACAGGGTTATGGAACACTATCAACAGAAAAAAAAAAGATGCGAAGGTTGGAAATAATCAAGTAGCTACCACAAGGGGTATAATTAGGGGTATAATTATCTCCTTACCTAATGACACTAGAAGTTCTGCAAAGAAAGGACAAGTTAAAAACCTTACTGCTCAGCCTCAACAAATTTTGCTACCTACAATTTAGTATAACGTTTATAATGCCTTTTAAGAGGCTGAAGCTTCATCTTTCTTTGTCTGCCACAAAAAGCCTCTGCCTTTTATATGCAGTAGCAACCACTTACACTATCTCACTCTCTTCCGCTTTGGCAACATGTACCACTACCATCAAAAAGTTTTGATTGTCAGTGGAACATACATTACTCCTGCAATTTTCTTAACCTCACAACAGTATGCGAGCAAAAGGAACTTATTTGCTCCAAACTTATTTGAAACAAGAGGATAAATGTTTTTGTTTTTTTAAACTTACCAAAGCTAGGAATGAGCCAACAAAAGCGAGTTCCATTTAGAGCAAAAGACATGGCCCAGAACAGTACCAATTTACTGTTTTGAAAAAACAGACTCTCAAGTAGTGTAACATGGATTTTCATTTGTACAAAATTTTGCTGAGGGCCCAAGCCTGCTTGTATTCAAAATAGCAGCAGCTTTACTTTCAATTTAAATGGGTACAAGAGGTAGTCCATACAACTTCATTTTCTGTAGTTTTGTTATGCAATGCATTAAGAGTTATATTAACAATAAAATCTTTAAATAACAGCAAAGGAAGAGGGAAAAAATAAGGAAAAACGAATGCATTTTCAATGGAGTTCTGAAACAAAAATGAAAGCCAAAAGGCAGCCACAGAAACATTGCTCAAGGTGGCAGAAGATGTAACAGAAAAGACTCACAATAGTGAGGACACTGTCTAAAACTAAAGGAAAGAGGTCTTCGCTACACAAATGGAGGGAGAGGAACACAAAGACAAATAAGTTTAGCAAGACAGGCTGGAGCAAGCAAGACCACAGAGGTTTTTGGTTTTTGTTTGTAAGAAAAGGGGGATGGTAATTTGAAAAGAATGTCAAAATCAGTTTTCAGTCCAGAAAGAACAGTATGTACTGCATTCACAAATTTACATGGACTGGCAACAAACATGATATTCAGAGGCAGAGCAAACCCCGAAAAAGGATTCAGGTACCAAACACTGGAAATTAGGTTTTCTTGATATGTGCTTCCAGATTTATCTAAACTTGAGTTTCCTGAAGAAAAGAAAAGCAACTAACATACAGCCTCTCTTCTGTTTTCCTAGTCTCATATATATTGCAGGTGTTTTACAGATCATTCAAACTCTGGATACTCTTAGGACAAGATCCAAGATCCATATTGCCTTTACGTATGCAACTGGAACTAAATCCACTTCCTGCAGAGATTTAGATGCTCTCCACTCATACCCTAGAATGGCACAGGATAACTAAACGTTTTTCTAACAGTGGTCTTCCCTTCAGCAACTGAATTACACACACTGGCATGAACACAGTCTCACAGAATGTCCTGGGTTAGAAAGGACAATAAGACTATCTAGTTCCACACACCAGCCATGGGCAGGGTTGTCACCCACTAGATCATATTGCCATAAGTCCCATGCAGGCTGGGTCTTGAACACCTCCAGTTTCTCTGGGGAATGTGTTCAGTGCCTCACCATCCCAACAGTGAAGAATTCCGTTCTTATATCTAATCTAAATCTATTTTCTTTTAGTTTGACACTGTTACTTCTTTTCCTGATAGTGATCCTCACTCCATTTTTTCCTCTAGAGTCCCTTGAAGTATTAGAAGACAGTAATAAGGTATCCCTGGGGGCAATCATATTGCTCAACCTGCTAGCCACACTTCTTTTGATGCAGCCCAGGATATTGGCTTTCTGAGTTGCAAGCATATACTGCTAGCTCATGATGAGTTTTTCATTTATCAGTTACCCCCACATCCTTCTGCACAGAGCTGCTCCATTCATCAGCCAGTTAGTTCTGATGTTTGGAGACAGCAGCTGCAGCAACCTGGCCTTATTGAACTTCACGAGGTTCGCACAGACCCAACTCTCAAGCCTGTCAGAATTCCTCTAGATGGCACCCCAGCCCTTTGGATGCAATCACTCAGCTGATTTTTTACAAAGTGGCCCATCAAATCCATGTCTCTCCAAATTAGAGATAAGGGTCTCATGTGGGACCATATCAAAGGCTTTGCACAAGTCAAAGTAGATCAGTTCCTCTTTCCTTGTCCACCAGTGCTGTCAATCAGTTGTAGAAGGTCACCAAACTATCTAGACATGATATGCACTTTGTGAATGCTTGCTGTCTACAATCATGCTTTCCGTATGTATTAAAATGGTTTCCAGGAGGATCTGCTCCATGATCTTACTGTGTGCAAAGATGAAGAAGACTGGTCTATTGAAGATGACTGGTCTGTTGCTCCACAGGTCCTCCTTTTTACCCTTTTTAAACATGGCTGTTACACTTCTCCTTTTCCAGCCGGACTTCATACCTTTTCAAATATGAAGGAGAATGGTTAGCAACTTAATCTGCCAGTTCCCCTAAGATTCTGGGATGCATTTCATTGGGTCTAATGGAATTGTGCATATTCAGGTTCCTCACATGGTCTCAGAGCATCATACGGTGGGTAGGACTTAATTTCCCCAGTTCCTACTTCTAGACTTGGGAGGTATAGTAGGAGCAAATGCTGGTTAAGACTGTGGCCAAAAAGTTGTTGAATATGTTAGCTTTCTCCATGTCAGCTGTAGCCAAGTTCCCTGTCTCATTCATCAGAGGTTACGATTTCTTATGTCTTCCTTTTCTGTGTTCTATACCTGCAGAAACCCTTCCTGGTATTCTTCACATTCCTAGTCAAGTTTCACTCTTGCTGTGCCTTGCCTTTCCCTGTCCCAACCCCAAACTCTATATAGGCTGTGTCCTTACAAACTTTTCATGTAGACCACTGCTTCCACTGTCTGTGCATTTCTATTTTGTATTTTAATTTCTTTAAGAGGTCCTAACTCAGCCATGTAAATGAGATCACACTATAAAGAAAATAAGAGAGCTCTCTCTAAAATGTGTTCACTGATCTATGATTGAAATGGTCTTCATGTATGCAACACTTCTCTACAGCAACAACCATGAAGTACTGTTTCAAACAGAGTTTAACTCTCACTGGTAGGGTTGCCTTCTGCCTACCTCTTTTCTCCCATAACTTCCTTTCTTTAACTTTCTTCAGATTGATGTGATTTGTTTCATTTTCCATTATTTATATCCTCACTATGCACTGGGACGACAAGCTCCACTCTGTTCCTTTCCCCCCCCTTCTTTCTCCTGACCATCCTCTGCTTATCAGTGGCTTCCTTGTAGACAGCACCACCTCTAGGATAAGAGATAGTAGTACAGATCAAATGGGAAGATTCCTCTCTCTAATGAAGTTCATAGCATTTTGTAACCATGAAAATTTTT